TGAGTCATCGCGCCGCCGCTTCACCTCGGCCCGCGCAGCCCTCGATGGCTGGGGAGCCCCGTGGGGCTGAGGGAGCGGGAACTGTGTGCTGCTCCCGGGGTGCCGAGCGAAGCTTCTCAGCTGCTCGGTGACATAACCGCCCCCGTTCCTGGTCTCTAGAGGTTTCACTTAAGCACTAAATCCCCAGCCCTCCGCGTGCCAGCCTTTCCCAGGTCAGGTAACAGCCATCTCCCAGAGGCAGTGCCTGGATCTGGGCACCACACGCTGACAGGGAACTCAGTGTACCTGGATCAAGGCAGGATGGCAGCAACTTAATTGTGGCAAAACTGAAAATACATAAACCCTGCAATATTTCCTACCACTCATAAAAAAAAATAAATAAAATAAAAAGGTATTATCTGAAGGGAGGGATCACAGAATCAGTAAGCCTGGAAAGTCTCCCTCAGAACATCCTCCCTCAGAACAGTCCAACCTGTGGCCCAACACCACCCTGTCAACCAGACCATGGCACTGAGTGCCACATTCAGTCTTCCCTTAAACACCTGCAGGGACGGTGACTCCAGCACCTCCCTGGGCAGCCTGTTCCAATGTGTAATCACCCTTTCTGTGAAGAAATTCCTCCTAATGTCCAACCTAAACCTCCCCAGACAGCTCAATACCATGTCCCCTTGTCCTGCCACTGGTTGCCTGGGAGAAGAACCCAACTTGCACCTGACTACAACCTCCTTTCAGGTAATTTTGGAAATAAGGTCCTGCCTGAGCCTCCTCTTCAAGGTGCCCTGCTCCAATGGGCCTGGGAGCCAGCACCGACAGCAACCAGATAAGGGGAAGGAGACTGAGGAAGTATTTAGCACTATGTCCACTCATGAATGCTTGTTTGTTTCCAGGAGTAAATCCAAAACACACAAAAGCAGCACTGCCAATATGAATCTTACTTTAAAATAATAAAGAAACTGATAATATTTTCCAGTGCTTTTAAACTCAAAGGCTTTTTCCACGTATTTTTTTCCCATTCATTTCAACAGCAGGCAGAATCCGTTTCAGTTCTCACTCCATTTTTGTGAAGCACTTGGACAATACTGTTGTTGCACAACATCATAGGTGAATTCTAATGCCCCATTACAGAACATGATGAAATAGAGATGTTGGTAAAGATACCACTGCCCATTTTGATCAGAATAATTAGAGATGTAAACTCATTTAATTCAGATGTGTACTCATCCCTTTTGTCTCTAGAAAAAGCCCCACACCTGCACACAGGATCTGCAGTCTCTATATTAGCTTTAGAAAGAAGTTTGTCTTTTAAAAAAACTACTGCAGATATTTTTCAAATAACATCTCATTCATTAATTATATTGAACCAAAAGTAGGTAAGTTAATAGTTGAAAAGCAGCTAATTTTGAAAAAGAATCCTGTCAAACTTGGAGACTCTATTCCATTATGCAGGCCCTCCGTAAGTTGTGCATGTGTATCTGCAGTTAAGGTTTATGAATTTTAACAATCATAGCAGAAATGCCAGAAGGCGTAAACAGATAAATATTTTTACACAAGTGATTAGTGCACATGAATGGAGCCAGACTGAAACAAATGGGATTTGAATCTCTATAGATGAGATAAAAATACAGATACTTAATTTTTGTGCCAGTGCATGTTAGTCTTAAAAGATAACTCCTGAACAGGAATGGATTTGCAAAGGCCTGAATGGAAACTGAACTACTGGTAGAAGATGCCACCTAACACTGCCAGGTCCTGGCACAGGAACTCGTTGAGGCCACCTATGCATTGCTCTCATGTCAACCAGATGAGGTCAGAGACTCCCTTCTGCCTCCAGCTGACCTCAGCCAATTCCAGCTGGCAACCCAATAGCCCTGTGTCCTGCAGCCTCCTTGACTGCCTTTATGAAATGCTAAACAATTACAAGTTCTTTTTTTTTTTTAATTCCAGACCACCAGATACCTAAAAGACAATTTTTTCCCATCCAAACATAGTATTTAAAGGTCAAGATTAAACTCTTCTTTTCCTCACAGGTTGACCTTTCCAAGGGCAGCAACAGGCAAGGTTCACATACTCTCCCTCTTTCTCTCTTGAGGATCTTGTTTTTTGGATCCTGCTCCAGCTAGACACTCCAAGAACTAAAGTCTAGCAATCTTCTAGGTACAATCCAAGTCATTTATTTAGTTTAATGAGATAATTTTTTTTCCTGAAATTACAGACCATGGTTGCTGACATGCATGAATGCAGCTAGAGTAGCTTTTACTCCTCTGTACAGTTTATGTTTGCAGTGCTGACTACCTGGCAGCTGTGGCAGTGGACATTCATCATCTTTATAAAGTTGAAACTTTTCTTGGTTTTGAATTGAAAATACACTCATCTACATTTCTTTAAACGCAATAGTTAAAGAAATTGTCTTTATGGGGAAATTAATCACAACAGCTACAGCAGTTTAAGCTCTCCTATAATTAAATATTTTGAAATCATTTCTGTATAGATATTCTATCCCAAAATAAAAAGGAATAGAATCCTGGATTAGTAATTCCAGTCAATTTTTGAACAAAATGGATCAGTGGTATTTTTCCCTTTTGTGCTGATAAAGTATTATTTTTCTGTTTCTTGTCCTAACACAGCTTAACATCTAAGCTGTTGCCTCTAACAGGATTTTAGCACTAACAGTTCATTTCTTAACACTTTTATATTGCTTCATCTTACTTTTTTCTCACCTAGCTGCTTTCTGCCCTGAACAAGTAATACATCTGTGAGAGAGGAGCCATGCTGCTTTAAGCACCAAAGGTGCTCAGCTTTGGCAACGATTAGCACCTGAATTTGGGGCACACTGGATACATTAGTCAGAAATTATCTACTTAAAATCTGGATCAACAGCTAAACCCTTCAAACCCCCCTCTGTGGCTCCCTATCTTGGTCATGTAATACAGCCACCCTGATGACTTTCCTGCTTAGTTTAAAACGCTTCCAGCCAGAGCAGAAATGGCCACTGCTAAATCACTACAAAAATATGGATTAATCCATGCTATGACTGGGAGGTATGATCCCTATCACACAAAAAAAGGGACTGCCACCAGAGCTAAGGAACTTGCTTGGCACCACACAAGGTGCATTTTTCAGTACCACAGTGAGAATTCAGAAGGGTTTAGCTCTTAGGCAACCATAGATCTGTGCTGTCCCTTTCAAAAAGGTGAAATCCCCTGTTAAACAATTTGTGTGCAGCTGGACCCAGGTGTGGAAGGTAAGAAACTGTTCTAAATAACAGCTCCTTCACAGTTATATTCAAGATGGCAGAAACTGAGCAAATTCAAATCCTGTGATATTGTGTGCTGTATCAGGGCAAAATATTCTCCCCTGTCAGCAGTTAGCTGCTCTTAAGCCAGACACTAGAAAAGGCCAGGCTGCTTCTGCCAGTGTGTCACACAGCCTCTTCTGGAAAAACAAAACAGAAAAAAAACCCCAAACCAACAAACACAAACAAAACCCCCAAACCAGTATTTTCCAGGATATTGCTCAGCAGGACCTTTTTGCTTTTTCCGATTTTGTAACTACACTACAAACTTCTACAAAATTGCAACTTACCCTTAAAGATTTCTGCCCCTTTCACTTGCTCCATCTCCTTTCTGCAATGATTCCACTCAAGCACTTGGGAGCCTAATCCAAAATTTGCCTTTTTGCTGCTTTTCAGGAATCTGGGCTTGCAGATAGGAAGACAATAATGGAAGCTGAGGAGCAAACCCTGGTTTACTGTGAGCCATCAGACTTTGTGTAAGTCTCCGGTGGAGATGTGCACCTGAATTTCTTTTCACAGGCTTCAACAAATTCAGGAATTCCATTTTCAGCTAAATATAAAGAACAGACCATGGATACATGCCCTGACTGCAGCACGTTTTCTGCTGATTTATTGACTGTGCATAAATACTGCACTATAACTGTCATATTTAACTACAAAGAGAGAGAGCTGTATGCTCAGGAAGATAATTCAGGGCAACTCTGAGGTTTTTCATCTGTCTTCCATGTACTTCAGAAAAAGCAGCCACTTAGCAAAAGGGCAGAGTCCAGCCATCCTGATTTTGTCCCCTTCTCCCTCAGACATGTGTTAACCCTTTGCTGTGCACAGTTCAGCAAGATTCCTCTTCCCACAGTTTTTATGCAAGCACAGGTAATACTGCCCACAGTCCAAAGGTGAAAGCAAGATCCATAGCCTGCATAACAGCAGACACAATTTAATTTCGATTTTGCTTTAAAGACCAATGAGAAGGGGATGAGGAAGTGATTGGTTACCTAAGATGAGAGATCGTTTTGCAATACTGGTAGACAAGCAAAATTCTGACAAAATGTCTCCGAGGAGACATGAAATGAACCCACGAAGCAGCACTTTGAACAGCTAAGCAAGCCAGACCAGATTTCCAGACAGGCAAGGCTTTCCATACAAGAACAGGTTTCAAAGTCCAAGAGTGTCTCTAAAGAGGAAACAACATTCAGAATTAAAGTTTGAAAAGTATTCTGGCTGCTGAAAAAGAAACTGAAACCTTCTCCTGTTTAGCAAACTGGAGAATTGAGTTACTCTACACCTTAGAAGATAAGAAAAAGGAATTAAAATTGTGCACATACCTATGCAGGGAGATAGAAAATTGCAAGTGTGTGCTTCAGCTTAGTGCATGTTTGTCATCCAACAGCAAATATCATCAGATTAATGGCCCCAGCCCCAAGCCCCCATATGTCCTGCCAAGTTCTCCCCAAGGAAAGATTTATCATTTCTCACTGGTAAACACAGGGAGAAAACAGAGCTTGTTCTAGGGGGTAAGAGAAAGGAAGAAGGATTTGTGGCTGAGGCAGGAGCCTTGCATCAGGCAGTCACAGCCACGGGGAGCAGGGGCTCACGGGCCAGGGATGCTCCAAGTGTAGGTGCATTTGAATTGACAGCCAGCCAAGAACTGTATGAAATTCCCCGTTACTTCCTTTTACTGGTCTTATGCTAAGTGTTGCTAAGCTGTACCTGGGAATCAGGCCAAATCAGCTTGGGATCGTTGGATGAAAAGCATTAAAAAAAAAAAAATCCAGAGTATTACCAGTGTGGAAAGCAACAATATGAATTAAATGAATGAATGTGCAAGTGGCAGGATTTGGATTTTATTACATTCTACAACGTAAAATATAAAGGCAGACTACAAAATTGCCACTTCTGAGGAAAACTACACCCTTCTGCCTGGGATCCTGTGAGGAAGAGTCATAAAAGCAGCATATCATTACCAGAACTGAAACCTGAAAATACATATGTTTAAATAGACTGGAGCCAAGAGGGACTGGTTAGGAGAGTCGTTTTCCCAGGCTATGCTACACAGATTTGTGCCACCAAGTGAGAATTTCACACAGTTTCATCTATCACCTATCAGAATTTATTTTATGGCAAAGAGTACTCATGGGCTGGGGACCTGCTCTGAACTGACAGGATTTATCATAAAGCAAAAGCCACACTTGGCTGTTTAATTTCTGGACACAGTTATGATTTTTTACTATATACATGACTTGCCTGCAACAGAAATTCTCCCTTGCAGAGTTCAAAGTATCTCTCACAGAGAAAGTTTAGCTAACCTGACTGCACTCCCCATGCTACTTGTGCCTGATCCAAAGCACACCAGACCCTGCTGGAAGCCTCAGGGAGCCTCAGCCCTCTGATTTCAGCTCAGCAAGTCACCTTTCACCTCTCAGCATCATTTCACTGCACTGGAAACACCCACTGTCCCTCACTGGCATGGCACCTTGTGTCTTAAAAAAAAAAGTCAGGGACAGTCTCCAAAATATTGGTGGGACACCACTTCATGGGATGTTAACTCTGTGCTGAGGGCACCTAAAGTAACTTACTGGTCCCAAACAGAAAATGTTATTATCTTTTAGGGATGAATATTAACATTTCCAACAGATCCTTAACAGATCATCATCATCTTACTGAAGATCATGTCATGGAAGATTGAGTATAATGACATGAGTCATGACATGGAGTATGTTTATCATTATTTGGTTCCTCCAAAACAAGCAAAAATTATACAGAAAACACTGTGCCATAAAATCATTGCGTTTTACTGTAAGCAATTTTCACAAAATATTTTTCCCCCAAAGGAATCCCCTATTTAATCCTAAAGACTATTTGTCATTAAAGACAGTTACAAAAGCAGGCAGAATTATCTACTTGGAACACAAGGCTTTGGTGCCATGTGAGCTCCCACTGGTTCTGTTAGAGACCTTCACCAGCACTTTCCATGGGTACCTGGCCTTCCTACCTTGATTTCCCTAGTTGCAGAAGTGCTTATTTTGTTGTTTTCACTTTTTTTTTTAACAATTTAAAACCGTATCAAGGCCTCGGCTATGGAAGCGAGAGGAATCAACCCTGCCCTGTAGCTCTCACCAGCTAATTTCAGCCATGATCTAATGAGTGGGTGGTAACAAGACAGAGGCGGGACAGGAGGGAAAGGCCCAAGCAGCGCTAGGAACTTAGCAGGAAATTCAGCAAAAAGCAAGTGCATAGGAAAATAAAAAGATCTTTTCATTCTTCAATTTTTTTTTTTTCAAGATAGATAATGAAGAAGAGGAAGTGAAAGCTCATCCCCTGAAGTATCTTCTAGGAGTTTAGAAGAAACAAGTTTCCAGGAAGACCTTAGGCAGGGACACAACTTCATCTTGTAAGAGCAGCTCTCTGTGTAGGGGCATGGAAAGAGAAGGCAGGAGGAGACAGTGCAGGGCAGCAGCACTGCCAGCAGCACACAGCAGATGGGAAATCCAAAGAACTGAGACACAGCAGGAAGCAAGAAGTAGGTGTACAGAGTCTTGAAGAGTCAGCTCGAATGCGACAAGGTAGGAAAAAAGGGCACAAGGGTGGAAGAGCTTTGTGACTTTGCCAGACTGGAAGGACAGCAAGGTGCTCCCTGCAGATGGTTGTGCTCAGATCTGGCGACATTTGCATTTGCCTTTCTCAGATGGAGTATTTGTGCCAGATAGGAACACAGAAACTTAAAATAAAAATGTGCTCTCTTTTACACCTCTGTCCCTTCAGATTTAGACATAATAGAAGAAACTGTGCTTATTCTGGACTAAGTGGAATCAAACAGCCCCACTCTCTCTGGAGCTGCTGTGTCCTGTTAGTGCTGTCAACCTTGCTCAGTACAGACTGAATTATTGAACTTCCTGAACTCCCAGTTTTGTCACTTCCTTGCACTCACTCAATTTTTGTGTATTAAGTTGGACGATTTGTTCACGACAAAGAAGAACTTCAAACCCAGACACTTCCGTTTATTTGCTGCATTCTCTTACCTAGGTTTGGATATGAACACAATCTCAAACTGTTACAAGAGTAACAAGAACAACATTTTCTCTTCCTTTCAGAAGCTTTTGATGATTTCCAAGAGCCAAAAGCTAATTATTTTGGCACAAAGAGGCACCAAAGAAACTTTTCTCCATGGCATTGCTGTATAGCCGCTTGACACTTTTGTCTGAGACGAGAAAGAAAGAGAGGCATAATAAAAAGCCCATGTTTGTCTTTTTTGAGATACAGAACAGTTTCACTGCAAGAAGAAATTAAATAGACAAAGGCTCTTCAGGTTGGAAAAAAAAGATGACTGCAGAGGGAAATTATGGCAGTCTGTAAAACACAGAACGGAGAAGGTAAATGCAGAGTAATTGTTCACTTTCTCTTGCAGCACAAAAGCTGAGTGGGCATCCAACAAAGGCATTTAGCAGCAGGTTTAAAACAAACACACCCAAAAGGAAGTACTCTTTCCTACCATCCATAATTGCCTTGTGGCAGTCAGTGTGCCTCAGGAGGTTGTGAAGACTGAAAATGGATTTTAAAAGGCATTAAACAAATTCATGTGGGACAGTGTAATCTAAGAGCAAATAAACACTGTAGCTTTGGTGAAACTTTTGTGTTTTCAAAGCCTTACCCAGAGCTGGGAGGAGGCACCAAGTGGAGATGATTCGGTATGTGGCCTTTTCCTCCCTCCCTGTGCTGTTCCTGGAAGCAGCGTGGCAGTTCCTGTTCCCTGCTGAACTCGAATATTTCACATCACTGAGGAGCTGCAAACGTTCTCTGCATCCTCCTGCCCGACTCTACCTTCCAGCAGACTCCCTCGGAGGGCAGGAGATGCTTCTGACAGGGCTTTGCAATCCAACCCTCCCCCCATTTTCCCTAGAGCAACCACACTTATAATTGTGCAGAGAGAGAATATTGCGTTAGTGCAGGTTAAACCAAGGAAAATTTCAATCCTATGTTTTGGCATTTAATTACAGCATTTATCTCATATTATAAGGGTAGAAAATGCAGCTGCCCCCATTACTGGTCAAAATGCTTGTTAGTTCTCAATAATAATTCAGTACTTTCTGCAAAACAAAAAAAACCCCAACAAAACAAACAAACAAAAAAAAAAGACAAAGCAACCAAGTAACTGGTCTCCATAGCCAAGTGAAACTAACGATTTACCTCAGACAGCAAGGAAAACCAAACAAACAAAAAGAAAAACCAGAAAATCCACCCTGAAGTCACTCAGTTTCATTTTTAAAAAAATGTGTCTACAATAAAAGATTTTATATTCGACATTCATATAAAAGACAAAATTTCCAGTTATGATTGTGCTCACCCTTTTATTAAAAAAATGCTGTAATAATGACAATTCCCATCCAAAGATTTTCAAATTTCAATTATTCCCTATTCAGCTAAACCCATTGTGTTTTCAAGGAAAATCCAGCTGAACTGGGAGTTTGTGCCAGCCTTTCCCATGTCACAACAAGCTCATTTGTCACCCCAACACTTCTGCAGCCTTGCACAACACACACTCTGCATCACCACCAAGCCAGGGACAGGCAGCTTGTCCCTTATCCCCAGCAGCCCCACCCTCCTACCACCCCCTGTACATGCTCCCCTTTCCTCCCAGCACACACATCCTGCTCCCTCATCTTACCATCCAGCAGAAAAGCGGGAGAGAAGAAAGCAGCAGACAAGGGGGAAGGGAAAAGGACACAGTGGGTAATCAATGCTGGGTACAAGTCTTATATATGTATTTACAGGAAATGAAATTAAAAATGCAAGGGGGAAGACCACAAAAGCCTAGTGACAGTGGCACAGTGGAAATCTGTGATGAGCTACTGGTGAATTAAGGTTTCCATAGCACTTGTATTCTCAGTTTAGGAGTAGGTTAAAATGAAAAATAGAGGCAAATGGTTACACGTGCACTAAGGCAGGGGGATCTTGAGTTGGTCAGCACCCCTGGTGGTGTGGGTCTTCTGGGAAGGGAGTCGCTGAGACTGGACTGTGCCCTTCAGGGGGTTGTATGTCAGCACAATGCTTTGGGTTTCCAGCTAAGTGCTCACAAAGCTTTTTCCCTTCTCTACTTGCTCAGGTCTTCTCAGTGCTCACACATTATGGAACACAGATGACAGAGCAAATAAAATGCAGGAAAATGGATGGATAGAGGAAAAAAAAAAGAAATAAACATTTGAAAAGTAGATATGAAAAAACAAGTATAGATCAGGAGGGAAATAAGCAAAGAGAGAAGCACAGTACTACAAGGTTCCTGCTGTTCTTGAGAAAGAGCCACTGTGATGCAAAATACATAACTCAGCACATTGAAATAATGAACTACCCTTTGATACACATAAAAGGAGTTTACCTGAATCATGTCTCAGGAAAACAATCACCTGATAAAGCTAAAATCACCATAAAAATATAAGTTAATTTTTTAATTCAGAAGTAGGAACTAAAGAGAGTATTTAGCCATCAGACTGCTTAAAAAACCAGAACAGTATATTACATCTTAGTGTATCAAAGCAGAACACTTCAGAATGGTGGCAACAAAAGAAAAATTTGCCTTAGCTTTCCAAAAAGACTTTCAGTGAAACACAGACGTTTCAGTTAATGGGCTTTGACTGTGGGTATTTTAGCTCTAGGCAGTCTTGCCTGGTGCACTTTGAGCTTAATTCTCTGAGGTATCAATCACTTGAAACTCCAGATGAACTCAGGAAGATCAGCAGCTGATTCTAGTCAGAGTCAAGCCCAGCTGTCCCAAAATGGTTAATCAAAGAGGCATTAAAAAATGTGAATCCAGCAAGGATATGGTAACCAGGGGTTCATGCATTAAGAAAGCAGCAGGACCCTAAATCTGATGATACTGCCTGTATCATCATAAATGGCAGAGTAAAAAACAGAAAATGTCCTGACAGTGATATCCAAATGTATTCTTTTCCAAATGCAGCACAAGCTGCAACATGCAGCACTCGTGCCTGAGGAAGAGCAGTCCCTGGGCCTGAGGAGCAAGCAGGACAGCACCTGTAGCCATGTGGGTTGTGGCTCCTGCAGGGAATGCAGTTAGGGCCGGTGCATTCCTTGCTAATTAAATACAGTCCTAGGCTACCAGCCAATTACCTCTGCAACCTTACCAGGGCCACATTTGCAAATCTCTGGTCAAATATGGGATATGTGGAACACTTGAAAGGTAAGTAAACTCAAATTTAAAGCCTTACTGCATACCAGATACAACCATAATATTTTTCTTACTTGTTTACTATTTTCAAGCAAAAGCAGCAAAGACTCTCTGGACTCTTAACTTCCCATTGCTTGCAGAGGCTCAGAAAGCTCTCCCATGAGCCCTTTGCTTCCAGGCTCTGGGACTGACACATCTACAGCACCCCCAGCTCCCTGGAGCTGGTGATGTGGCAAACAGGGAGGGCAATAAAATGAGGTGGGGCAGTGCTGCAGCAACACCGTGGAAAACTGCTGTACTTGCTGTGAGTGTAACATGGAGACTCCTGCAGTCAGCTCAGTTCTTTGTCAAAGTACAAAATGAGAATCTTATCTTTTCCAAAGCTTTCCTTGAAACACTATACAGAGCTGTGCCTGTGTGTAAGCTTTATCCTCAGCTGCTCCTTTCCCAATAGATAGGCAAAAGAGTGTGATCTGATTTCAGAGGCCAGGGCTACACTCTGCATTCTGCCTCCAAATAGAGCTTTTCCTTAACACCTTTAAAACAAAGCCGGCTCATCTAGGAAATGGGGCTCTGCAGACAGTGGGCTTTAGGGGTTTGGTGACAGTTCTTTCTTGCTGAGATTTGTTTTCTGGTCAGAGCCTAATCATGAGTTTTCCAGCAGTACAGAACATGCACATAACTCAGCAAGGCAGCTGGCAGTGGCCACATCCTTCCAAAATCCAGTGATCAGGATTAAACAAGCTTGGTAAAAATCCTTGTTTTGTGATTACTCTGCAACCAAGAAAGCAGCTGGGAATGATTCTGTCACTACCAGGTCTTCCCACACATCCTGCTTTCATCTTAATTTTTATTCATTGGAACATGCAAATTTCCTGTGACACGGGCTGAAATTGCTTCTATTGCATTTCCAAAAGACATCAGAGGATTTCAGCATCAGTCACTATGTCACACAGGCCATTAAACAAATTTTAACGGACAATAGCAGAAAAAAACCCTGAACCAAAAAACATACCGAAAAACTCAGTTCTCCCTCTGGAAACACTATTGTTTATTGCTGTCAAGGTCAATGAAACTATAGGCAAACTGTTTCAGCGAGCCAGGCAGATTTATGTGTGCTAATATTCCACATTGTTAGTGCAGAAATATTTTAAGAGCAGTTAAAATCAGAAGTGGGAAGGCATCAGATACAGCAGCTGAATAAAAACTCTTGAGTGGCATTGAGGCCAATCTGCTGCCTCTCCAAGAGTCCCTTCCTTTTTGAATCTTGGGAGAGAGAGACAAACAGGTCAATTTCTTCAAATTCAGTGAAGAAAATATGAATTTTTGGCCTCAGAGACTAGGGACTCTTTGCTGCTCCCCAGAGAAGACCCAAATTGTATCCAGTTCCTTCAGCCATCCCAGATGTCTGCCCCAGAATCCTGCATACAAAGCAAAGAAAGTCCCATAAAAAGCAAGTATCATCATGCTGGAAGAAGCTCTCCAGATGAGCCCAGGTCTGGGATCATAACAAATGGAAACACTTCTCCCAGCCATGGTGATGGGCATGTCATACATCTCTTGTAATAATCAAATTATTTGTTTGTTAAAAAATGAAGCCTTTTGTATCTTAGCAAAAACTAAAGCAGGGAGCATAACCAACCATCAAGACTGAGCAACAGAGACACTCTCCTGTTACTGGTTTAGTTGCCAATATTTTAGTTTAGTGACAGATATTAGTCCCAACTGTTAACAGTCGTATAAACCAATTCACATCCAGCATGTTTCACATGGTGTCAGTGTTTTATTCTCATTCACTGAGGAAGAAATCAGTATCTAATCAAAAGGAGCCAAAGGCTCTTGTCATTGAAAATCACCTTGACTGCTGCGTGCCCCCTTTTCTTCACCACCCAGCAAAATTTTGACTATTGTTAACAGGTTTGGTTTGGTTTTTTGTTCTTTTAAATGGTACACTTTGTGCCTTTTTCATCTAAATCAGGTAACATTTGCAGCCTGGCCTTAGATGACTAAGGGCAATACAGGGAATAAAAGGCAGAAATGAAACAGAACTTCAATTTCCTTACTTAAAGTTATGAGCTTTACCACTCTCCAGTGCTGCCTCCCTCACTGAAATAGTAAAGTGTAAGTGCAGGCAGCTCTGGTGTTCAGATTATATGATCCCAGCCTTCGTCTTTTGTTGTTGCTCGTTCATCCTTTTTATGTAACTGTTGCCTTAGCTGTGAAACCCATAAAGGTCAACTTGACTCTAAACTGTATCATTGGGAAGAGTTATCAATATTGCAGACAAAGCATACAAAGCTGCCACACATTTTCTTGATTTTTGGGAGAAAGTATGTTGGTAACTTTATTCTAAATGCAACTGCTTCTGTGAAAATACCTCTGCAATCGAACTTACTGCTTAAGATTGGGCCTGCAAGAGGAGGAAGCTGTAAAGAAATGACACAGTCTTGCTAATAACTGTGTAGAGGGCAGAAATAAGGTCAGACAGCACTGCTGCTGTCTTTACTAAATTCCATGGATTTAATTTTTGTCTCCCATTGCTATAATTTCAGTGGTATTGCTTTATCGACTTTTATCCTAATGTAATCCAATGTATCCCAACTGTTCATTGTTTCTCTTAGTAAAATATTTCTTGTGGGTGTAATAAGATTTTGGTGAATTTATCAGTATAATCACAAAAATTGCAAAAAACTAAAAATAAAAATACACCAACTGCAATATGTATGTGCTCTATACTCAACTCTGTTATTAGTGTTATATTGGGAAAAGACTGCACTAGGCCTGGAGTTTTATGGGGATCTGTGCTTCACTTATGCTGGGAACACCTTTCCCAGCTAAAGCACACTTTTACTGTAATGAAATGCTTCAAGCAATCAATAATTTTCTCAAAATTTCATTTTAGAGGAAAACTTCTGAGATCATCTCTGTCTTGTTTCAATATTTTCTCTCCAAAATCATTTTCCTGAGAGAAGTAGCACAGTGCCTATAAACAGGGGGTACATCATGCTGCAGTGCAGGGGATTCTAAATTAAAGCTCACATTTCAGTCTAACCATCACAACTTTATCTTCTGATAAATGATAAATGCTGAAATTTTACCCAAGCTAACAAATTAAACTTCACAAAACAGGTGAAAGAGATCTCTCCCTCCAGCATTCATTATGCTGTTTCCTGCTTCCTTCCACTTTTCCCTGGAGCAAGGTGGGTGCAGCCCTGCAAGGAGAACATGGCAGGAGGGCTGTTTTGAGGCCACAGGTTTGTAACTCTGCCTGGTGTCACTTGCTGTCCCCACGCTCCTTCCCGAGCTGGTGCTGGCGTCTGGCTGGGCTGCTCGGGCACAGCTGAGGGGGAGGTGGGAAGCAGCACATGGAACTGCAGTGGGAAGGCGAAGGGGGCCACGTGGAAGGCAGCAGGAGAGCTGCTGGTGGTGGCACAGCGGGCAATGCCCACAGAACCCTCTCTGAGGCTCCCAGCACCTGCTGAGCAGAGCCTGGCTCTGAGCGTGGCAGAATGTTTTCTAAGAAAGGTTACAAACTTCAAACAGATAAAGATTTGGTTCCCACCAGGTTGTGGCCAGGTGTAATTTAGATCCCTCGCAAGAAGCCATCAGCCCTGAGCTGAGCCATCCCTCAGGCTGCACTAAAACCACATGGGCACTGCAGGTCTGCTGTGAAAACCCAGATTATGCAACAATTCTCCTACCAGTGCCAAAGGAAACCTGGGAACTTCATTGCTACCCTTGTCCCCACTGACATTTTCATGACTTTCAAGAAGGAGATTATATCTGAGAACTGGCTATTACATGGGGGGTGAAAAAAAGCGAAGTAATTTAAAATAAATTTTGTTATGTTTGCATTTCAGAATAAATGTAAATTTGCACCAGAATTGATGTGGAATGAGACTTTCAAATGTGTTGGTACAAGGCTGCACATGAGGTAGTCACAGATGATTGATACAATGACTGATGCTATAATTTAGCTTTTTATGCAGTTTAAATGAGCACTCAATTCTGTACCCTTTAATCACAAAGTGGCATTTCATCTCAGGAGTAGCCAGCTGTAGTTCAATAAAAGAAAGGGTGCCCAACAGGAATAGGCAAAGTAGGCTGAGGCCTCCAAAAGAACCCAGATCAAAAACACTATTTGAAAAATGAAATATTAATATGGGCAAGGTTTCCAACTAAATGTTTCCTTTGGTATTTGTTCAAGTGAATGTTATACCTCTAGTGGCAGCAGAAGTGAATTATTTAGCATAATGACGATGGAAAATTCAGGCTACAGTTAAGGAGTTTCTACATCTTGGCTATAGGTATGTACATACAAAAATGTGCATAATTTTTGAAAAAATGAAACCTTAAATCCCTCTGTCAATAATTCACACTGCTCAGAGCCTGAAAGTGGAGCAGTAGAGGATGAGCAGGCCTTTCCAAGTTAAATATGGTGATTTGTCCAAGTAAAATGACAGAACTCGGGCTTCCACACAGAATTGGGATGCACCCATGGCTGATGCTGAAGTGGCTATTACCTCTCCTCAAAGGAAAGCTTGTTATAAAAATGCTGATGTACAGCCTGTCCCTGCAGGAATGAGGGAAGGCGAAGTGCTCACTCCTGCTGTTCCGAGAGGGAGGCACACGGCAGGTCTGGCTTAGGCTGCCACAGTGCTGCGAGTCAGGCTGTGGACACGTGTCTCCTCCCAAATCCAGCTCTGTTGACAGCACAGTCCTCCCCCAGTCTGCCCAGAGGCTGGTGAGCATTGCCCAGCAATAGGTTACCACCCCTCTGATCTGGATATACTTGTCTGAACACTCCTTAACCTATTTCAGAAAAAATCAGCTGGGCCAGCAAACCCTTATTACTTAAAATGTTAGGCCATGGTTGCACAGATGTTTTTGCTTCCCTGCAAAGCAAGCTCCAGCCATTTCTGTTCCCTTTCTCTGGGTCTGCTTTGGCTCTGCATTCCCCAATCCACAGTTCTATGCACTATTTTGTCTATTTCTATAAACCTAAGTTGTTGATGTTGGGGTTTTTTAAAGTTGGTTACCCCCAGCACTCCTCATTCACTTAACTGAATGTTACAGTCTGTGCAAACACATCAGAGGAGATGGTGAGGGGTTGGAAAAAATCACCAGAAGATTCCCTACATCATATTTGCCTTCAGAATAAATATCTTCAGGAAACCATGGTCTGACATTCCCTAATCCTCTTCTGGATTTGGCCTTTGGTAAACTACATGACTCTGGTTATTTTATAATCACAGAAAAAATGATCTTAACCTCTTCTTAGTGTGACCTCCCCCAGATCCACCAAACTTGGCAGAATCTCCACTGTGCAAGGGGGCTTTGGCCTGGGCCTTCATGTAAGTTATTTGGGCTGTTCACAAGTGATACCCTCCCATAGACAGTTTGGAACATGCCCAAGACAGGTTGCTTCTAATGCCTTAAGGCAAAGGGGGCACTGTAATACCAGATGGAGAAATAAACCCTAACCGCTGTGTGTGCAAATCAGGCACAGGTAGGATCTGCACGTCCTCTTCAAGCCAGAGCAGGTAGATTATCTGCACTCTAAGCTTCTCAATCGTTGGTGGCAGCAAAGCCCAAATCCAGAAGCATTTTGAATTTCCAGGTCAGAGATCAACTCCAGCCCAGTTCCCTCCCAGTCTCTCTTTTCTGCAGCATGTTTGGAATGTGTCGAAAGCTGCACAAACTAAACACAAGACCATCTGCTTAGCAGCAACAGCAGCTCCTTGTCTTCAACTTCCAGCCTTTGAAAATCCCTTGTCTTGGTCCTGCTGTCCAAACTAAAGAATGAATTCAGCAGGAAGGACTAGTGCTCTCCAGAGTAATTCCCAGCAGAACTCCAAGAGGAAGCCTGGAGCCTGCCTTGGCGTCATGCTCAAGAAACAGAACATGCAGTGTGGAGAGCCCTTCAGAGAGCGGCCAGGATCAGAGAGGGAAGGACAAATGGTACCTGCGGTCAGCTTTTAGCAACAAATCCAAATATCAGGGCAAATATCAGCGTTTGCTGAGGCGATAGCAAAGCTGTCAGTGAGACTGCCCTGCCTCCCCTCCCTACAGCTGCACAAAGACTCAATAAGTCACACAGAGAATGCTTGAGCAGTGGAGGTGCAAAATGGAGCGTATTAACTGAAGCTTTTAATAAGATTTTGATAACAATGATTTTTATGTTAATCTCTGAAGAGTTTGCTTTTGTAGCATATAACTGATAAGCATATAATCTAGTTTTAATTTAATCTCTGCAGGTGTTTCCCGATGGTAAATGTTAAATTTTTATTGCTTCCTTAGGCAGTAATAATAGGGCAAATGTCTGTAGGGCTCCCACCATCCGTTTGTATGCAGATAGCATCATACTTTATAATAGCTGTAAATCTGACAGGATAGACTCTTACTGTTGAGATGATATTATAAATATGTGTCAACACTGAATAAATATCTTTGAAAGGAAAATAAAATAGAGATGTTATTAGAGGTCTAATGAAACAACCATAACTGCTTATTTATAAGAGATGTATGCGCACATCCTTGGAAAAAAGTAGAGCCCATGCTGGGTTTGCAGCTTTCCGATGAGCAGGACCTGGAGATTCTCAGCAGGGTCCTGCAGACAATGCAGAAATAGATCCTACACTTCATAAAGATGATGACTGTCTATAAACCTCTACATGTTTGTTCTCTCTGAGGTTTCAAAATGATTATAAATACCACAGTGTCTAAGACTCAATTATGGCTTCTTTCATACAGCTTAGGAGCACAGCATGTCAGGAGCTCCCACATGAAGAACCACAAGACTCCAAGTACAAGGAACTGAACCCTGATGCCTCTCTGAAGTGTAATGCAAACACATTTTGGGCAAAATTCACTCAGTACGAGACCTGAAAGGGATTTGATCCCTTAGATCTTATACTTAGCTTTATTCATTGAGCATACATGAAACCTGCCCTTGTTTACATTTAGTATTTTAAAGGCAGCGACACTTTAGGATGTATTTTCCTTGAATAATTTTATCTGTTCTGCAGCAAATGTGACTCTCTGGCATGCTGTGCTCACCATGTCCATAGGCACATCTCAGGGACCCAGCAACACAGGCAGAGAGCTGAGCTAAAAGATTCCTAAGATGGAACTGGCTTGGCTCCAGGCAGTGGAGAGCATGGGCAGAGAGAGCTTCGAGCTGTCTTTAACTCTCCTGTATAGGCATGCCCTGAAAGGGATTACACTTTAACAGAAGTCTAGATATTTCCTCAACGGTGCTGAGATATGTGGCTCCCAAGGTCCACATCATTAGGCATAAAAACAAACAGTCTAACCTCTGACACAAAAAATACACACGAGTTCGTCTGAGTCCCCAGTGACAGGGAACAGGAATACAGCTCGCTGCCACTGAAGGGGGGAAATCTGAAAACCTGCCACATAAGCAAGTCAAAAAAATCCAAAACACTTTAGCTGGTGAATTAAAGTTACAAGAACAGTTTGGACAATTAAGGTTAAACAATTCTTGCTTCTATTGTAAGTCAGAACATGTATGCTGCTTTAAGGTGGTAGTTTAAATGCACTATTGTTTCTTCTGCTAATCTTTAAAAGTGAAAAAAAAAAGATTTGTTTGGAGACTTTTTAATAAATTGGTATTAACTAGAAAGAAAACTCCAATCA